TGCTAGACATGAAGTGGCATCACATCAAATTGCTCTTTGAAAGCTCAGGAAATGCATAAATTTGTGTCCATAGCACAGGTATTTAATTCCCCTTTGATCTTACCGGGGCCTTCCTCTACCTTCAGTATTTTTTTTCTGGAAATCTCAGCTTAAAAATCCTTTTTCTTCCACCTGACACTCTTTCTGAAGGTGTTGTGGGGCTGCACATGAGGACAGCTGGGAGTAGAAAAGTAGAAAGCAGCTATCTGTTCTTGCTTTGCACTATTTTCTGATAGAGCATAAAGAATCTTTGGCTCCTCACCTTGAAACCCTCCTGAGAACAGAATTTTGACTACTTCAATGTGTTTGTGTTCACGGGGGTCTGAGGATGGGGGAAGAGACAAGGATCTGACTCCGTGTTTCAGAAGGCTGATTTATTATTTTATGAAAAATATTATATTACAACTATACTAAAAGAATAGAAGAAAGGATTTCATCAGAAGACTGGCTAAGAATAGAAAAAGAAAGAATGATAACAAAGGTTTGTGGCTCGGACAGAGTGTCCAAGCCAGCTGACTGTGATTGGCCATTAATTAGAAACAACCCCATGAGACCAATCACAGATTGCACCTGTTGCATTCCACAGCAGCAGATAATCGTTGTTTACATTTTGTTCCTGAGGCCTCTCAGCTTCTCAGGAGGAAAAAACCCTAAGGAAAGGATTTTTCATAAAAGTTGTCTGTGACACTTCAAGAGGTTTCTTCTCGCTGCTCCTGGACTCACACGAGCCATTCAAAGGACAGAAAGCATTTACAAAAGGACACGTTAGGAACTGACACCTTTAATCAGCAAATTTGGAAATGAGGAGTGTAATTTTAATTGCTCCTGCTGATCAGTGGCACTGAGTGACAGAAAACGTCTGTCTGTCAGTCCAGCAGGCAGGGCAGAGGGCAGAGCTGAATCCTCACCCTCTGTGTGCCTCTGAGGTGCTGCGGAAGCATTTCCCTCTGATCTCCAAGTGCAGGAAATGTGAGACTCGGGCTGTTGGAGCGAATTAGATGTCAAATCTTCTGACAGCAACACCTCTGAGAGCTGGAGGGAATCCCCAGCACGGGGGTGACACCTGAGGGCTGATCTGTGCCTGCAGGGCTCACAGGGACCCCCTGCTCCAGGTGTCACACCTGGCTCCCTTCGAGCCCTGCTGCCTGCAGCAGCCAGTCCTCATCAGGCAGGTCCATTAATCACATTTCAGGAGGCCAATTTCCTCCAGCCACTCTCCATTTCTTCCAGGGATTCGAGCTGGGTTTCATTTTTCCCCTGAATGCATTAACCTGAAGGAGCAGCCTACTTAATTAAAACAGATATTGTTTCACTTTCTTTAAATATGCAAATGTCTTTATTAGGCTAGGTGTCATGTGCTGTACTTTGCTGCTTAATTAATCTCAACCTCATCCTGATTTGCCTCAATGGGAATCAAATTTTCCCATTTATTTTTTGGTGACTTACCTCAATGCATCCCCCCCAACAGGTTTGTTATCAGCAGTAATCTCTTTTCCCACATGGAACAGATCATTTTTTAGTGTGTCACTAAATACACTTTGTAAAAACACCTAAGGCAGTAACACAAAAATGTACATTTTTAGGTCACAGGAGACTTTAGGTTGAAATTTGGGGAAATCCCTCACAAATAGCTCAGGGTTCAGCACCACTGACCTCAGGGCTGTCTGTAGGTCTGCACCTAAAGAGGGATGGAGGTTTTAATCTTTTACATTAATTTAGTTCTCACCTAAGGAAGGATGAAAACAAAGTCCTAATTTTCTAGTTTTTGGAAATATTTTTAATGTACATAAATAGTGAAACTGAAGAATAGCAGTCCCAAAGGAAGAAAGGTAAATCCTAAAGATAGCTCTGTGACTTGTTTGGTTTAAACTTTCTGTTGCAGGGGTAATATTTCATTATGCAGATTTAAGTATTTGTAAAGCTTCTACAAAATAAATTTAATTACATATCTAACAATGAATCAAAACTTTAGATTGAAATAAATTGCTTCAATATCTTCCTGTAGCTACAAGAAATTTATATCAATAACCAGAACCAGTTTACTTTGACCTTATTTTTCAATTTAATTTCGTTGCAATTCCAATTAAACAGATCTAAACCCCCATAGTTTCAGGTTCTGCTTTATTGGTATCCAATCTGTGCAAATACTTTCATCCCCTCAGTATTGTGAATTTGTCAGAGATCAGTCACGTGGCAGACAGTAATTTGTTAGGTCTAAAATTAATTGGACAAACAAATCAATGAGCTCCTAATAGTGGTTATTGGGCTTTTTTATTTGACTTCCTTGGTTGTCTCTCCCTCAGAATTACTCTGCATATTAAATTACTAATTAAAACAGCAGTACTTTAGCTTAGTGTGTTCTTCAGGTGAACTTCTCAGCCAGTTTCCTGAAAGGAAATTTCTATGTCTGTTGTTTTAGGAGCAGAATTGTGTTTTCTTCATGGCATTTTCACAGTATCTACCTATATTTTCAGCACAGCAGGCAGTACAAACCTACAGCTCAATGCAGGTGATCAATTTTTGTGTGCACATGGAATTTTCTAATAGATTAAAAATACCTGAATCTGATTTCATTGTTTTTCCCCAACATTTTGGAAAATCCTGGAGAGAACAGAGAGGCCAGCTCAAGACCATCAATTTGTTTGGATTTTAAGTTAATTTATTTAGATTTTAAGTTTCTCTCAGTTGTGACGGTTGTCACAGGGGTCTTAGGATGAGGGAAGAGACGAGGATCTGACTCCATGTTTCAGAAGGCTTGATTTATTATTTTATGATATATATTACATTAAAACTATACTAAAAGAATAGAAGAAAAGGTTCTCATTAAAAGGCTGGCTAAGCTAAGAATAGAAAGGGATGAATAACAAAGGCTTGTGGCTCAGACAGAGTCTGAGCCAGCTGACCCCAGCCCTCCTTGGAGCACCTGAACCTGGACAGGTGCTGCAGATTGGAGCAGTTTGTACTCTCAGCTTTTTGGGGCTGTGTCCCATCCCCTAAAGAAGTCCTACACTTGTTAGAAAGAGAAACTGTTCACCTCCTTTATGAGTAGCAGCAGGTAAATCAGGTCCTTTCTTCTCTTGAAATGGTAAAGTAATTCTGCATAAACTGACTGTATATTCCCTCACTGTAGATTAATAGGGTCATCTCATTTTACAAAGCACAAATCCTTTGAACTGTGGAAAATTCTGAAGCCTTGTCTCAGGAGGAGACTTCAGCTCACCAGGCTAAGTTATTTCTAGTTCAACAAACTTTCTGAGAGCTGCAAAAAAAGTGGTTTAGTTATTGTTGCTGTTAATTGAAATCTGTGTGAAAATCTTCCACAAATATTCCATTGCCTGCTACAGTAACTTTGGGATGAATCCTCTCCCTCGGAAGCTCCAGAGGAGGGCACAGCTGTAGAATCCCTCCAGCTCTTGGAGCAGGAAAACAGGAGATCCTCCCAATATCATTGTTGTGCTTCTGTGGATTGTGAAAGTTTGTTGGGATCTAGTTTTCAGTGTAACCATTCTCATGTTACTTGCTGTGTAAATTTTCCATTCTGGAAGTGTCCTTTGATAAAGGAGAGAAGGAATTTAATAGCAGTGCACTTCCCACAAAACCCTAAAATCTGCCCATACTCCTGACAACTTTTTGACCTCCCCGTGAAGCAAAAAGCAAAATAACTTCAAATAATTGATGTATATGTTTGTAGTGATGGTGATAAAAAGTTCTATCTTGAGCAAATTCAAAAATAGAAATGGCACTTTTCTATCTGCAGAAAAGTGAAAGTTATTTATGGCATTTAGGATCGTGTATGATGGAATGGGAGAGACCAAACAGAGCAGAAGATTGCTTCCACTTTTTGTGAGTAACAAATAAATAGTGGAAGTAAATGTTAGAAGAAATAGAAGTAAATAAGCACTGCTGAAAAGAGCAGAAACTTTGATAGCAGCCTGTGACCCCTGACAGTCCCTCAGCTGGGCAGCATCATCCTATTACAGGATTTGGGCTCAAACCATCCATTACAGCAGGGCTGGAAACAGAAGCCAAGGAAGTTTCAGTCCCATTTATTTTAATCTCCATTGTAAAGGGATTTATACTAATGGAACACAATTACATTAGCCCACGAGATTTTAGAAGAGGACTGATATATAATTCCATTCTATATCGTTTGTAGTTGTCTAACTAATTAGCAATTATAAATAATTCCCTTTGGATTAATTGCTTAGATAGCATTCAGAATATAAATCTTTCCACATAACATTTATATTATTCAGACTGAAAAACCTACTTTGATTTTATCCTTGGCTGACTTTGAACCCAGGTCACTGAACCAAAGCAGGATAAATCATCTATTCCTATCCAACTCTTACTCCAGGCTTATGTCGTTTACACAAAGCATTCTGCATTCTTTGATTTGGACTTGATCTTAGTCCTAATTACCTAGGAGTCATTTTTCGCAAAAATAAAAAGTATTGCTTAGAAATAGATAAATGAAATTTGGTTTTGCCACTGAAATATCAGAGATCTCTTAAATGTTCTATGAAAATGCACTAAAATTGTATTTATGAAGACATTACCAAGGTATAAGATTCTTGACCACCCTGTGTGGCTCTCTCTTAACTCCCTGTTTGGATAGTTTAAATTAGAATTCATTACATCCACGTCCTAATTTTCATAACAAAATCCTTCAGGAGGATAATACATCATCTATGCAGCCAACCAGGAGCTTTGAGATCATGTAGGTGATACCCTATCACTATTTGGGAAATAAAGGAGCTAAATTATATCCATCTGCTCTTTACTAAAGAGCCTCCAACTGTGGAAAGATGCTGCCACAACCTTTCTTTATACAAAGGCCAAAAAATTCAGAAGGCAGTTTTGCGAAGGGCTTGGATAGAAACTGAAAGGTGCTGTTCTTTAAAGCTCTTTTTTAATTTTAACTGGCTCCACAGATGTGCTAAAGCCTGGCCTGCGTTGGCATGGGAGCTGCAGGGAGCACTGGGCTGCTCCTTGGGGAAAGCTCAGACCCTGAGAGGGGTCAGGGTCAGGAGAGGAGGGGACCAGAGACCCCCAGAGACCCAGGAGGGGACCAGAGACCCCCAGAGACCCAGGAGGGGACCAGAGACCCCCAGAGACCCAGGAGGGACCAGAGACACCCAGAGACCCAGGAGGGACCAGAGACACCCAGAGACCCAGGAGGGACCAGAGACACCCAGAGACCCAGGAGGGACCAGAGACCCCCAGAGACCCAGGATGGGGACCAGAGACACCCAGAGACCCAGGAGGGACCAGAGACACCCAGAGACCCAGGATGGGGACCAGAGACACCCAGAGACCCAGGATGGGGACCAGAGACACCCAGAGACCCAGGAGGGGACCAGAGACACCCAGAGACCCAGGAGGGACCAGAGACACCTAGAGACCCAGGAGGGACCAGAGACACCCAGAGACCCAGGAGGGGACCAGAGACCCCAGAGACCCAGGAGGGACCAGAGATACCCATGGGGTGACAGACTGCACCATCCTCTCCATCCTCAGCCTCACTTCTAGCTTGCTTCCCCCCTCTGAAGCTTCACTGGTGTGGAGGTACCACTGAATTGGAGGAGCCAAAAAGCAAACCCAGCACAGAGTAAAAGTCCAAGCAAGCCTGCTGCAAAAACAATATGATAAAATCAGCAGTAAAGAAGCAGAAGGAGGCCATACAGACAAGTGATTTCCAGGTGCTTTAGCAATCCTTATTTCTAACCTGGTTTTCTAAGCTGCCCTGTGATTGCATGGAGCAGATCACATACAAATAATTGCTGTGTTTTTGGAGTGTTCATGTCCCAGTTCCACCAGAAACCCTGATGGGGCTGCTCAGACTCGGCAGCTGTCAGAAAAGGAGCAGGTATGGGATGTGCTCCAGGGCTGGCACACTGCAGTCTCTGCTCCCTGCCTGCCTGGGTGCTTGCGAGTTCTAAGGAAAAAATAACAATATAGCTGAAACAAACACAACTGCTGTGGTGTATTTCACATGGAAAATGAGGGGTTTGTGGCTCAATAATAAAATACCGTGGAAGTGGTGGAGGAAAACATGCATCGTAACTGCTACAGAGATTAACAATGTCTGCAAATTGCCTCAAAGAAACCCAGGGTTTGTTTTCCAAACATTTGCATTGAGGAAAATACATTACCCAATTAAGATGAAAGGGATAACAATCTCAGTGAATTGTTATTGTAGAAAATAAAGAATATTGCAGTAATGGAACTTAATTTTATCATTATATGTATTTAAATTGCCTTTTATATACAACCATATATTTATTTGAAATAGATTTAAATGCAAACATAAACATGTTGTAACAGTTTCCAAAGCTTTAAAATCAGAAAGAAAATAACGTTAATGAAATATTCAATTCTTTTTATTGTTAGGAAAATCTGAAAATGATCTATCATTTCTAAGTTACAATTCCTGTTGCCTCTAATTCAGTCCTTTATAGCCTGAATGCATTATTGGCATAGGATGAGATCTTGGGGGGAAAGGAAATTGTCATTCCTGAAAAGGGGAGGGGAAGGAGGGCGTGTATGTAATGTGTAGAAACAAATTTTTTTCATTTGTAGAAAATCCAATGTATTTCCAGGCCATGACTAGGATGGAAACAAATCCAAAAGATTTGGCATCTCAAAAGAATGGTGAGTATGTCCTCCATATCTTTGATGATCGTTAGGTCTTGCTGTGTTTTACACAATGCCTAGTTTAATTTTGTTTTCTTGTGATTGTTTCTTGTTTCCTGGTTGATCCCAGTCTCCAGGCCACTGAGAACCCAGTAAACACCAAAAGAGCAGAAGAGTTTCAATACAGAAGTCTGGCTACACCCAGTGTGAACCCAAAGCACCTCAGTGTGGCTTTGTATTTCCTTTAAATGCTGTTGGAAGCACTCTGGCCCGTGGAGAGGAGGGTCCCGGGCTGGTGTCAGATGCTGGGCTGGAAAATGAATCTGCAGGATCCAGGGCTGATGTTGGGCTGGAAAATGAAGCTGCCAAAACCCCCAGGACCAAGGAGCTAAAGCTGGCTCCAGGCATGTGGTGAGTGAGCAATGAAGGATCTGAGCCCTGCTGTCCAAAAACTGCTTTCCTAAAATAATCTCTGTTCAAGTTGTGTAAGTTCTGAGACTTCACCATAAACCAGTTTTCAAATTTCTTTTTTGTTCTTAAAGAGCTGCAAGATTTTTTCAGTTTCCTTTAAGTATTTTTTTCTGAATAAGAACATCTTCAGTTTTTTAAAAGCACTCTTTGCTGACTGAGGTTGAAGCTATGATTTATGAAAATATCAGTGTGAGGCTGCAATTTATATAGAAATTGTTAAATCTAACTCACCTCCTGTGATTCTATGCAGCAGTAACACAGTACATGCATATTAAATACATATATATTTATATATGCACATATAAATGAGACATCTCTCGTGTTTCTGAAGAGCACAGGTGAACCAACATTAAACCTGTAAAATGCAATTATTCAGTGCTCAAGAAAATGACCAGCTACTCAATCTTTTTCATTTTTCATGTGTTGCCATTCTTGAGTGTTTGGGGACAATGCAATCAAATTGTTTTTGCTGCTTACTGCATGAAAACTCTGCTAAGAATGCAGCTGCCTCTGTATATGATATATTGACAGGTTTTCTTCTAATTTTCCAATGTAATTTTTCATAAAACATTAACAGTTTTTCTCTACCCAAAAGACCTGCTTTCCCCCAAGGCATATTTTTCAATAACTGCTGTCAGCTATCAATATTTCCAAGCATTAGAGACATTTCTGGACAAGGTCTTTTGGAATGTGAGATATCATTCAATTCTTTTATCTACTTATTTCCAAAGTCTGCCTTTTCTTAACAAAAGCTATGTTACCTCATTAAAGATATCTTATTTATTCAGGTGTCTGCTAACAAAGGGGGGTTTATTACAAATTCTGCCAGTTTGTGGGTAAGGAAACCAGGTTTATTTGCTGTATTTTTCATATCTCTGCCACAGTTGTCTTTGTGGAAAATTGGTGTCATATTTGCCCCTGGCATTGAAATATCTTTGTCTGTTATTGAGACAGTTTTGAGTTAAATTGCAGTGAATAATTCAACTGTTTCATGCTTGAATTCTTTTAGAACTCCTGTGTAAAATACTATCCAGAGTTAGAGATTACTCTTAAAAATTCTGCTGAATTTGCTCTGCAGCATCTTCTACCAGGACTTGAGTTTATGATGGATCTCCATTGTATTCTCTATTTCCATGCCAGAATTTTTCATGTTATTCCCTTAGGGATGAATTCAGTTCTTTGAAGGATACTTTAATTTATTCATTGCACCTTTTTGATTTCTTTAACCACAATGGAATTAACAAGCTTTAGTTATTTTGTGTGGAGGTGGCCATCTCATTTTACTGGAGCTTCTGGGGTGATTTGATGGTTCCTCCTCAAATTTCCTCATGATCAGTGTGAATTTCTTTTAGAATTCATGTGACTGCTGCTTACTCCAGAAAATATTCCTAAACAGACTCAAGTAAATTCTAATAAGTGATTTTAAATAACAAAAATATCCTAGCAGAGTATCTTTGTCAGCCTTGCAAATCTTGTTTTGGTAGGTGGAAGGGCTGAAAAATGTTCCTGTTTCTCCTGGGGTTTTGATTTTTTTTCTTCATTACAAACCTGGACCATGTTCATTCTCAGTTTGAGCCTGCAGAAAGCTTTGGATTTGAATGCACTTCCTGGGGATGTTTTTTGTTTATTCAGTGGGGCATCACGTGAGTGTTGTGGAGAGGGATGCAATAGAATTGGTGAAACCAGGACCTGATACTGGTTTTTATGTTTTATGTTCCTGTATTTTTTTTTTTTAGTGATATGGTTAAAGTTACCATAATTCTTGAGTAACTCTGTGGTTTACCCAAATAAATAAGGGGAAGGAGCTGGTGAACTGAGGTTCCTTGAGGTGGAAAATCTAATTAAATCTCTATTGCTTGATTAGCTATCACTCTGAAACAAAAAATAGAAATTTTTATCTGATATAATGCAGCATGATGTCATCAGAACTCTCTCTGCAATTAACCACAAGATGATTATAATTAGGGAGAAAAACAGGATACAAGAAATAGGAGTTATATATGATACAAATGAAATATGCATCAAGCTTAGCTAACACTAAAAACTGCTCAAAGAGAGAGTTTATTCACTATTTTCCCAGATCAATATCCTACTTCACAGTAATATAACAGCAGCTGTTTCATAGGAATATCCTCATCAAAATTCTGACAGCAGTAATTTTAAAAAAATGCTTGAATTATTATTTCTTGGGTGCTCATCATAAAAATGGCACATTTTTTCTGTGTGGGATACCATGCCTGTAATGCAGAATGTGAGGTGTGGAGCAGCTCAGTCTGAAGCAGAATCTCAGGAAAATCCTGTAAGAGCCTTTCAACAGCAATTTGGGAGAACTGATCAGAGTTACAGACTGCAATGCCCCAGGCTGAGACAAAAGCAGAGAGCACAGTCCTTGCTGCACAATTCCTTGGTCAGAGCAAGGAATGATTCCTAATCGGAGGAGATGATTCCTAATCCTTTGTACCTGTGGGACTGGGTGTCAGATTTGGAAAGTTTCTCCATCAGCATCCTGCAATGAGCACAAATAAATAAGGGAAAGGAGCTGGTCAGCTGAGGTTGCTTGAGGTGGCACCACACCACACCACTTCCATTGTTTGCACTGCAGATCAGGCTCTGATTTGAATTTGTGCAGGAATGAATTTCTGGGATAGCAGACTCCCCTCTTTGCATAATGCATGTTGATAAAACAAAAACATCCCTTTTGTCCTTCTTCAGGAAATTAAGATTTTTAAGGAATAGTTATTACTGCCCCAAAGGAAAATACCAATGTGGTGAGGTAACTTGATGGGAATGTGATACCAATGTGAAGCTCTGTCTTTTGGTGATGAGCCACATTGTCATTTTATCTCCAAATTCTGCATTATGACAGGTACAATGCTCAGTATTTGCCACTAAGCAGTGGTTTAATATGTATATAACATCCTATGTCAGCTCTGGGGTATATTTTAAAGAAGAGAATCACAGAATTCTCATGAGGAAACATTTGCTGTTTTGTGTTTTCACCGGTTTCAGTCATGTTCTGTGTTTTCCAGAGGATAGTTTTCAAACCTGTCAGCTATGGGAACTTTAATTTAAAAACATTAATTCAAGTCATCTATGCTGTCTGCTGCTTCTACATTCATTTGATAGAGCTTTTAGCTGTATCACCGAATTGTTGGTTTCCTCTTTAACGTACTTAGAATGTATTATTGCATTAATGTTCTTCATGGAACATTGCAAAACACTCACTTACATTATTTTGCTAATGCTAAGCAAGGGTTGTTGCATTATTAAACACCAGAGGCTTGGCAAATTGCTGCAAACGTGAGTTTAAAGCACATTCTTCAGGTGCCTGAATGTTTATGTATCATGACAATAACACAGACATTTATAGTCATGCAACATTGCC